ACTTCAAACGAGAGTTCCGCCGCGTTGCAGGAGAGAGATCCACTGATCCACTTCAAACGAGAGTTCCGCCGCGTTAGCCGCGTTAGGTCCGCCTCAGCCCGCCGTCGGAAGCGTCGGAACTCGAGTGCGGGGTGTTGGTGACGTGTGTTCGTGAGCGTGGTCTGCTGGTGGTCTGTTGGTCGAATAGCCCAGCCATTTTCGGGTAGGCGAGAGTAAGATCGGGTACCCCTCCGGGGGGTGAGTAGCCAAGATCGGGTGCACCCGGTGGGAATAGGGTCAGGGCCGGGTAGGGGCGGTCGTCGGCCAATCAGATGGCGCCAGGAGGGTGCTGCCGACTGTGTAAAACAAGTGTACCCGATAATGGCCGGATTGGGGCCGGGTGTACCCGATTTTGGCCACTCCTCATGTGAAAAGGTTCGTCGCGCAAGGAACGATCATGGTATTGGCTGATTCACGTAAATTGCTGGTTCGTCGTGCGACGCGTGAACCATCAAACAGGCCAAATCGGAATCCGGGACAGCAGTTGTTCGACAGGCTGTTGGGGGATGAACCTGTGCGGACATACGTGCCTCTGATGTTACGACCTTGGGTGATGGACTGCGCACACAAAGAAGCAGTACACCTCGGTGAGAAGGTGACGTTAAGCATGTTACAACGATTGTATTGGTGGGTGGGAATGGCGGAGAGTGTGCGATGGTGGTGCCGTAGGTGCTAGACTATTCTTGTCGATTCAGAAAAACACCGAGGTACCCGTGTTAGTATACCCATGTAGGTGTGTTGAAGATGATGGTATCACTTGTTTTTAGGACAGCAGACACGATCAGGACGCGGCGGGAGAGAAAGAGTGCCGCAATACAGTAAGCGCGAAAAAATACGAAGAGGCGTATTCGAATGACGCGTCCTTTCGTTGTCTTAAAGTTTGACAGAAGGAATCCATGTGTGGTTATTCAGCGCCAGAGGTTGCGGGTTCAATCCCCCTCAGCGCCAACCTTTGTTTGCACCTTGCCTTTTTTCCCGATTTTTCTTTACGATGGGAGGGCTATCACCACCTATTGGCGGTAAATTAGCGAGTAAACCACCGTTTACGCGAAGAAAACTGTAGTTTGTTGCTGTACACGCCTGCAAAATTGCAGTCTGCGCGAAACATGGCAGCTTTTCTCTGTCTCGCGTGTACAGCTTCAGAACAACAACATCTGTTATTTTCCACAGGAGAAGAGTATTCTTCGTGCTCGCCATCAGAACGTGACGTCTTCTTGAACCTAATAGCCTNAGAGGTTGCGGGTTCAATCCCCCTCAGCGCCAACCTTTGTTTGCACCTTGCCTTTTTTCCCGATTTTTCTTTACGATGGGAGGGCTATCACCACCTATTGGCGGTAAATTAGCGAGTAAACCACCGTTTACGCGAAGAAAACTGTAGTTTGTTGCTGTACACGCCTGCAAAATTGCAGTCTGCGCGAAACATGGCAGCTTTTCTCTGTCTCGCGTGTACAGCTTCAGAACAACAACATCTGTTATTTTCCACAGGAGAAGAGTATTCTTCGTGCTCGCCATCAGAACGTGACGTCTTCTTGAACCTAATAGCCTAGTAATAAACTCTCGCCCACTTGTCGTGTCGTGCTTCGAACCAAAGATACAGAGAAAAAAAAACGGTATCAACATCATAATACATACCATGACTTAGCGAAACCATGACGCGTAACCTCTCCTGTGTCGCACGCTTCAGGTGCAAGCTACTACCTACCGCAGAATAACCGGTTCCTCCCTGCATCGTATTGCTGGGCGGTTTTATACAACAAGAACACCAGGAACCCCATGCCCGTTTTACGTATATACAACTAAAATTCAGCTTTCAGTGTATGAGCCACGGCAGACATTGCAAAGGCAGGGCGGGAACACCCTTTCTTCCGTGCTTTAATGTAGTTCATTTCGCTCTGTGCGCGCCGTTGGTCCTCGGGCATGGAGCATGCTGTCTGTTTCGAGCGAGGTCCCGGGTGATGCATAAGCCATGCTCCCTTATGATGCCCACAAGTTGTGCACGCCCTGAAGGAAGAGCCAGGCGCCCTGCCTCTGCTGCCCTGATTGGTGTTTGCACTACTCCCACCCTCGCCCAGTTGCATGCCGTGGCCACCTGGTGTTGACGCCCCCGCCGCCCCCGTTCCCGCCGGGCCGCCCTCACCGGCTGTCCCTGTCCCTGCTTCCGCCGCCCCCCCGTCCCCGTCGCGGAAGCGGCCGCCGTCGCCGTCGCCGCCGACACCGCCGCTGCCACCGCCGTTGACGTAAGTGATCCCCCCAGCCTGCGGTCGGGAGCAGGCATCCGTCCCACGCCGACAGACTGCGTGAACATCTCGGGCTACGCTTGTTGCCTCAGCGAAGACGAAAGCTGCCGAAACCCTCCCTGGAGCGGTGCCACAGTAACGCTTGTTGCCTCAGCGAAGACGAAAGCTGCCGAAACCCTCCCTGGAGCGGTGCCACAGTGTTGACGAATTTCAACTGCTCGCGAAAAGACAAAGTGTAGGCCTGCAGCTGGTTAGCAGGTACTGGGGCCGCTCCGAACAAGCTCACCCGGCTCGATCGCCGGGCGTCAGCCCGTGACACGTACTTCAGTTGATTCACCATAAACTTCGTGTGTTCCTGCACAAATTATTGAGCATGCGATAAGTTTGGGGCGGGAGGGGTGCAACATGTTTCAGAACGGCACGTCGTAGACAATACCGGGAACATTGTTTCGCGAAAGTTCCCTGATCAAATGAAAGAATGGTACGCAAATTTACCTGGCGGATGTACTTGGCAGCGGCGGAGAAGCCCTTCCCATGGACCAGGTCGTCTGCGAGCCGGTCGACAAGACGAATGTCGATACCCGACCGATGAGTGAGAATGAAAGGAAATTCCTTCGACACGTAGTCAGGAAGGCGATCCAGGCATCCGACATCCCACGCGTTGAAACTGGTAGGGCGCTGCTCCGACTCCTCCACGGTCCTGTTGTATTGAACACACCGCTCGCACTTGTACCTGTCCGCGAACAAACAAGCGGGACAGCCAACGGTCAAACAGGCGGCGAACTGATCCGCGCGGTTTACAAATGAACAAACAAGCGGGACAGCCGACGGTCAAACAGGCGGTGAACTGATCCGCGCGGTTTACAAATTGTAACACACCACATACTCGGCGTACAACCAAAAAACCTCACGCTGACTGGGCTTACCGGAATCCTATGATGTACCCCACGTCTTCCTCCATGAACACCCGTCGTGGCCCCTTGGGATTCCATCCATCTGGCGAACCCCTTTTCCCGCACCTTGGACACGGAATTCCCGCCAGCGCTAGCTCCGGGAAAAATACTCGGGTATCCACGCCAACAGTGGCTTCAGAAGGAACGGAGAAAGTTTCGGCATCCTGCGCAAAAAAGTGGACAGCGGTCATGGAGGCATGAGAAACGAAAATCGAGTTCGCGTAGCTTATGAACGGAAAGCGGTCAATCGCCAGGAGTACAAAACTGCTGTTCAAAGCAGCAAAGGAAACCCGGACGTCGGGTGCATACCTGAGGTGTTCTGCATCGTAGCACACTTCGGGAGAATGAGGGGGCTGCTGTAGGGGAACTTTCCACTGCCTCCCCTAGGTGCCGCCACGCCGCCGCTGTGATGGATGATGTTGGCGTCGATGTTCTTCTTGACGGTACGGAAATGATCCCGCATTGCAGGAGACAACCGTTGGCTATCCTCAACACCACCCCCGCCCACGGGAGGGGGAGCGGACGTTCCCGCCGCTCCACCTGCCCGTGCCGCTGCCCCTCTCCCAGCCTCTCGTACCCCCATCGGTGCTCGTCGTCCACTACCCCTTCCTCCGCCCCCCCCTGCACTCCCACCTCAATGTGTTTCCCGTCTAGCTCTGCCAAGGCCTTGACCTATGCTTGCTGCTCCGACGGCCGCCGCCGCCACAGCCGCAGCTTGAACTATCGTCCCCCCTGTAACGGCACCTGCCGTGCTTCCTGCCGCAGCTGTTGGTCGAGTTTCAGCACAGGGACTAGAACTTGCAGTGCCGCCTCGTCCTCGTCTTTGTTCCCCTTGTAACGCCGCCGCCCCAGCCGCTAGTAGCGGTGCCGGTGGTTGAGGAACAGGTGCGGTAGATGGTGGTGGGCTTGCTGATGTTACTCCTGCTGTTGCCGCTTGTGTTGCTGTTGCCGCTGCTGGTGATGTTGCTGTTGGTGCTTGTGGTTCTCCTGCTGTTACTGTTGCAGCTGGTTCTACTGTCCCTCCTGCTTCCGGCCCCTCTGTTGCTGCAACTACCTCTGATGCCGCTGCTCCTACGGGACGTTCTCTACGAGCTTTCCCCTTGCCTTTCCCCTTGGAAGACGGCGACTGGGTTGAAGCGTTTGCGGAGTTATTTGATGCCCCACGAACGACATGTACTGCCTGGCTCGTACTGCCTCTTCCGACGTCAGATATCGTCGTCGGTGTACTCCTCTCACCCGCACTTTCCTCGTCGTTCCCCATGTTGTCTTCGTAGCACCTTCGCAACTGACTCGCTGACGCTTCCGTGTTGTTGTGTCTGCCCACCCCATGACCGTACGGAAAGCTGCTGCCTGCCGTGATCGCTTCTCCTCGTCGCTCTTTTTCTCTGCGTTTGATTTCGTCCCGGGCATTTTTGCTCCAGCCGCAGGCGCTGATCCTTTCCTGCGACCCATGGTACATCCGCTGTGGTGCTGTGCGTGTGCTGTGGGTTGTACGTGTGTGTGCTGCGGTGAGAGAGCTGTGTCCTTTCTCTTTGGGCAGACAAGGCGCAGAGTCCTGCCGCGTGCAGCGCTGCGCGCGCCTGTCCCGCCGGCGCTCGCGCGTCATTACAACTCCTCCTGTACTAATCCCAAGTGCCGCTTTTGAAACCCGCTTTCAAACTCCCAATCAGCTTCGTTCAAATGCGGTGGTTTGGGCCAATCAGAGGCGCCGCTTTAAAAAAAATCATCCCTACCCATGGTCCCTGTTCCGCAAGCACTCCCGCAGATCTGAGCCCCGTGGATCAACCATGAAACCAACCCAGGGGACTATCAATTCCAATCTGCGTAGCCACTTCCTACAATCCCGTTAGAATATTCTCATCCGCTCGTGCACACACGAACAACACGAGCCTATGGCCATTGGTTTCACTACCTTTGCCAAGTACGCCTGGACAGATGGTATATTTTGACTATTTGGGTCCATTGCCGAAAACGAGGAATGACTGTGAGTACATTTTCTTGGTGGTGGATTTATTCAGTAGGCATGCAGAAGGGTACTTTCTACAAAAAAGTGAGAAAAATGCAAAAGGATTTGTGGCAATTCTGGTCCATGAATACATACCAAGATGGGGTTGTCCGCACACATTTTTGTCGGATAGAGGACCGGAATTCGCTACAGGTGTGGCGAAAGGGGTGAATAAAATGCAGGGATCTATCAAGAAGTTTACTAGCTCCTATCATCCCCAAACGAATGGAATGAATGGTGAAAAGGTTAAATCATACTATGTGTCAAATGCTGGCGCACTTAGTGGCGGATAATCAAAAAGATCGGGACGAAATGTTGCCACATGCAATTTCAGCACATATTAATAACGTGAGCAGAGGAACAGGACTTGCACCGAATATGGTACACATTGGGCGGTATCCAAGACTGCCAATGACCATTTTGGAAAGGAGGGGTACAAGGGGGATACAAGGGTTAAAAAGGGATCAACTTGGCTATTTGGATTTGGGCAGGGACCGACAAGTGAAGGCATATGAGTTGGCCCGGGAGGAGGATGAAATCACGAAAAAGTAACATCAAGAAAGGTATAAGCAGATAGGGGAAGTAATTGGCAAAAGAGCAAAGTTTGAGGAAGGCGATTGAGTCCTAGTGTATGACGATAAAAGCACAATGTCAGGAGGGGGAGAACATGTGTTAAAATCGGCACTGGATTACAATGGAGGAGGAAAGTCATACGCGTTAATCGGCAAACTAGCTCATGGCTGGACGGGTCCATACAAGATACTGTATTATTTGTTGGCCCAGGAAAAGGACCAGATGACAAAGAAGTGGGACCCAAGGTTATATTCCTCGAAGTAAGTAAGGATGAGCCAGGGAAGGGGATTATTGAGAGGGTGTCAGTGCATCGATGCAAAAAGTGTTACAATGCGTTCGATAAGGCGGACAAGCCTAGGTTTTTACCTTGGGCACTGAGCACGTATGTATGTGTTGAACAGATACTCAGAATTGGCACCTCCATTTCATCTCACAGAGAACGACGTTGAGGAAGAATTGGATAAATGCCGACTGAATCCATATAAAATTTCGAGGCATCGCATTTGCCGAGGGATACGTGGAAAGATCGCTGTGCAATATTACACGCATTGGACGGGATTGGAAAAGTGTACTTCGGAACATGAGGTGGAATTGGAACAATATGGCGATGTGGTGATGAAATACTGGGCACAACAGCCAGAACAAACCGCAGGAGGAAATGCCATGTATCGGAGGTACAGAGTGCAAGTGGCAAAGAGACTAGCTGCACACAAATTGGGGAAAAGACATGATGTGGCGAAGGGCAACAAGCTATGTTGCAATGTCAGAGGGAGGCCTGATATTTCAACTTCTGACCCAATCGGATCGTATATCTATTACGAAACGAAACGAGCAGGGTGGCAATTTGCGGTGGTGACACAAGTAGGGGTGGATCAAGCAACTGGAAGGACAAAGCACACAATCAAGCTGCTGGACATCAGAAAACACATCAACGTGAACCTGAAGGATAGCGCGCTAGCAACGGATAATTTGGTGCAACAACCTGGAACTTGGTGCTGGCATGCTCATGTCACCAACAATCCTGTGAAGAAATACATGTTTGCATTGGAATTATGAGTGTAAGGGCAAAGAGGAGTTGAAATTTGGAGTGATTGGTAAGGATGAGATGATCGTAGCAAGTGTGAGCTCAGGAAATAAATATGGTTGGAATTGACCGGAACAGAAAGAGTGAGGGAATACAAGAGGGATTGAAGGAGGATTTATTTGGAAGATGGTGTAGGCAGCAGGCAGGAGGATGGCATGAGAATTCTGTGAAAAGTACTACATGAGGGTTGAGAGCAGAAGGTTGATTTCACGATCGAGAAGAGTATTATGTAGTCAATTGACAACGTGGTTTATGTGTGGTTGACAGCATATAGAACAGGATTGTTGGAATCACGACTGCTGCTGTAGATTGATGAAATATAACCGTTGAAATTGACAATGAGAGGGTGTTGAATTGGCATGAAAATTGTTGGTATGCATATAAGTAAGGATCAAGGAACAGAGGTGAGGTTTGAGGATGCGGAATGCGTGTAGTAGATTGCACCTTTTGTGTTGTTTCTGTGTACAGCTTATCTTTAGAAAGGTTGACACTGAATCAGGGTGGGCGAATGTGGTGCAATCGGGCCGCTTTTCTTGGGACTGTGGGATTACCGGGTAATTACGGGTAAAAGTTTGGTATGGAACAGGGCTGGTGTAAATTGATTGCAGCCAAGCGTACTACTTGGAAAGAGCGTAGGTGGGAAAGAGCGGGAAATGTTCAAAGAGTACTGACCTATCGGAGGGTTGTGAGGCGGATCGGTATATTCATCGGCGAATAAGTTTGAGAGATTTGACAGGTCGTTTGAGAGGATTGGATAGAATGTTAGATTCTCGGAATGCAAGTAGGGACTGTCAGCAGAGTTGGAAGTTGAGAGTTAGTGGACATGTGTGGGGACGAAGAGACACCCACACGAGGTCAGTCTGTCCCACCAGGAGTCCTCTTCCTTGCTGTCTTGGCACGGTCAGAACTTCTAATACACGACACTTTGATCGCAGCTCTACTGGACTTAAGCATTACAACGACAAGACCCTTGGCATCAATACAAATACGTACGCGGAGGGAAACTCACCCCGAACCCCCGATAGTAGCCTGGTGGTGTGCTTGGAGGGGGGGGAAATGCGAGCGGGGGGGGGGGGGATGTTCGTGGGTCTGCGAACATTAGTGTTGGATACATGTGCTGTATGATTTGGTGTCACGCAGATCGGCAAGATTGCCGTTTGGTAGGGGGCAGCGCGATGAGTCACGGGGCCCCATCCTTGGTGTAGGGGCTGTCCATGTGGGGCACTCCCTCTTTCGTCCGTGTGAAGGTCGGTCTTTGACCTCTCGTGGAGTTATTACATCACCAAAACAGTCTCACCCGATGACTAAGTGGCGTAGGCCGCAAACACTCTAGATAGAGTTTGCCCCTCGAGGGAAGCCACATCGGGATGAGCTCTGCCGGAGATGAGATGCCCACTGCCGCGAGCGGAGAAGAGATCCGCTCGCCGGTGGAGGAGGGCCGCGATGCAGAGCTTGCAAGTTTGCAACGGCAGATTTCGCGATTGGCGGCCCTGGTGGAGGAGTCGATGAAGAAGAACGAGCCTGGCAGCGTCGTGGCGGATGCAGTCAGCTGGGTTGCTACCACGGGAGGCCAACAAGAACCAACGCAGCAGCTCGGCGGTGGCGGGGGATTTCTCCAGCAGCAAGCGAGAGATGGTGGGCNCGCGAGCGGAGAAGAGATCCGCTCGCCGGTGGAGGAGGGCCGCGATGCAGAGCTTGCAAGTTTGCAACGGCAGATTTCGCGATTGGCGGCCCTGGTGGAGGAGTCGATGAAGAAGAACGAGCCTGGCAGCGTCGTGGCGGATGCAGTCAGCTGGGTTGCTACCACGGGAGGCCAACAAGAACCAACGCAGCAGCTCGGCGGTGGCGGGGGATTTCTCCAGCAGCAAGCGAGAGATGGTGGGCAAGAACCACGGCAGCTGCTGGAAGGTGGCTGGGCCAGCAGATCGGGAGCGAATCCTGCGAGACCAGCCGGAGTGGGCCCGGGCATAGGACCGGACTACGGGGAAGCGAGGGGGTTAAACCCCCTAAGGGAGATACCCGTGATTCGAGGAAATGGAGAATACCTCGACGGCTACAGCAGTAGCCACCAGAAAAGAGTGACGGTCAATGCCCCACTTCTAGACGGAAATAGCCGTAGCCACGGATTTGATTCGTGGCGAAAATCGTTCATCCAAGCTGCGAAGACCATCGACTTGGACGGGCAGTTTATAGGAGATGCAGAGAGCATCCCCGTGGCCGACCCAAACTTGCCGACTTCCGAACTGCTCCGTAGGGGGCACACGAGAGCAGAAGTCCAACGAGGGCTTCAGGCGTTCCATTTCATCACTATTGCTGTGGTAAAAAAAGCTGACAAAGCAATCATCAGTAGCTGGACGTCAGCGAAAGAGGTCCTCGCGGAATTGGTAAAGGTCTACGATCCGGAGTCACAGGGGTCAAAACAGGCCTTGATGCGTAAGATGTTCGTGCAATCCCCACACACAGCAACAGCAACCCCATCGAGCACCCCTACTCACTCGAGTTGCTGTATGCCCGCCTGCGCGAAAAGGGGCTCAATGCTGAACAACCCTTCGTTCTCGCCCACTTCGTTGGTTCCCTCCCACCCGAGTACCAACAAGCGAAGTTCCTGTTGGAGACAGCAACGGCGCTGGATAGGGCCGAGATCGTCAGGATCGTGAGCACGGTGCACGCGAGCCTCCCGGAGGGAAGGAAGGCCTCGAAGGGCCAGCGTAGGGCGGAGCATGCTCTCCTCGCGAGTGACGGTGGCGGCGGGGGAGGAGCGCCGGGCCGCGGCAA